TTCAGGACTGAATCTGATAAAAATTCTGCAAATTCAGATAGAAACTCAGAATATGGGCCAGGAGGACGGTAAACAACAACAACTAGAACTGGCTGAAAGGTTCTTGAGACTGGATGTGAAAAACTAAGAACAAGGCTTTCAAAAGAAGAAAAATTCAGTTTTGGTCGAGGGTTAACTGGAAGTCCAGAATTTAAAAAAAAGAAGGAAGAAGGAAGTGACATCTCAAGCATTCAACATAAAAAAAATATTAAAGCATATCATACCCTCTGATATTTAAACAATATTGTGGCCTTGAGAGATCAATATTTTAAATGTTGAAGAAGTGAATTTGGTGATGTACATGTTAACACCTGCTGGAGGAATATGGTGATTGTTCTAAATTGCAAAAAAAATTGAATAGATTGACAATAATTTTAAAAGTGCAAAACATGCAGGGATTGGTTGAATTTAGCTATTTCATTTTTTTGAATTGCAAGTTCCTTGACTATTGTGTTGATATTTTTGCACAAAGTAGCAGGTACAGCTTACAGTGCTCACCATATCTGGCCTAATAAGTGTCATAAATGTATTTATTTGTCCATCAGTGCACAGGAGTCAGGATTGTTGTTGGCTTTTCCCCAGAATGATGACAGCTGACAGTAATGATAATAAGACCAGTTATTTTATAAGATACCCAATAAATGTCCTTATGCTCTCTTTACAGTAATTCAGGCAAGGGAACAGCAAAGTCCCCTGCGTTACACGAGCTCCTTGTGTAACGTTACCTCGTTACCTCCTTTGGCCGAATACTTTGACAACTGCAGTTAGCCACCAACACAAATTGAATCTAATTCATGACTACGAAGGTGGAAGATGGTGGGAGGAGGAAGAAAGATGGACAAAATACTTTGTCTTTCCTGTATTACTTTTCATATAAAATATAGGACTGTAAAGGTATTAATTGTGCTTTACTGGCATCATCCTACAACAGAGACCGATAACAGCGCAGAATCATTAAGAGTAAAAAGAAAAAGTAAGCGTACTCAGCCTTAAATTAAGTGTTCATATTCATTTAATTGCTTCATATAGCCTAGCTGTGTTAGATCCTGTTAGTGCTGCAGCTTAACATTTCTAAAGCTGGTATTATTATTGTCTGCTCTATTGTGCACTTATACCAGACCTAAAGGAAACATCAGCAGAGGTGGTGTCAGAGTAGAAACAAAATAGGAGTGAATTACTGTATTTATTAAAAGTGAAGGATCATGCAGCCTGTTCAGCCTCTGTTACTCCTAAAAGTGAACCAGCCAGTTACATATTGCACACAATCAAAACTGTATTGTTGCATGATATACATGCAGTTTAAAGGGCTTGCATGGATGTCCCAAGTGTGAATACTACATCACTGTGTCAATGTGTGTATGCCCTTTGTAAATTTAGTCTCTCTCAATTCAATTTTAAATCTTTTCGATTCGAATGAGCTTTATTGGCATGACTGATCAACAATCCATGTTGCCAAAGCAGTACAGAAAAAAATTAACAAAATTAAAATAATAAACAAATGCTTCCAATATATACAGTATACAAATATAACAAATATAAATAAAAAACATTAACAGAAATATGAATCATTTTTACGGAGTATTTCTAAGAAACATTCAGTGTATTTTGTCTTAGTATGTGACAATCATAAACATATTTAACAGCTCGTACTGCACACAGATTTTTCTCTCCACAGAGATAGAACAGCTTCTGAGGATCAGGGAGATGGAGAATGTAATTAAATTTAATGTAATTAAAGAGAGCCTCTCTTAAATCTTTTTGTCACAGTGTAGGAGGAAGTGAGATTCTGTCTCCACTTGTCCTTGATGACAGAGTGAACACAGTCTGGCCTCTCTGGGTAACCTGTTCTGTCTGTGACAGCCTGTTTCTATGGTCAGACTGTGTCCACTCAGTCTGTACATAGTCATGGTTTTCCTTAGTTTCACATCCCTCACTGTGCTCAGGTATTCTGCCAGCTTGTACTCTCTGTTTAGGCTCAAATAGAATTCTAATTTACTTTGTGATTTGGTGCTTTCCTTCCAATATTTGATATAATTGTCTTTTTGTTTTGAGATAATTTGGTTGGGAGAGATTGTTTGGGGTGTGTCCTGAAGCCCTGGTGTTTGAGGGCGGAGCTTCAGGATCAGCTGGCAGAGGGGACTCTTACCTGGGTTCAACTCTCTCTGAAGGGCTTTGAACTGGTAGGAGTGGGGATCACTGGATTGGTGGTGTTTATAGAATGTGATGGCTCTCTTATGGATATTAATGATTAAAGGGTATTGGCTGAGTTCTGCCCTGCATGCATTACTGGCCGTGTGTCTGTGGACTCTCAGGATGTTTCTACACAGTTCTGCATGCAGGGCTTCCAGCGGGTGTTTTTCCCATCTGGGGAAGTCTTGGTTGGTTAATGGGCCCCATACTTCACTTCCATATAGAATGATTGGGTCTATTATTGAATTGAGAATTTTGAGCCAGGTCCTAATTGGAATGTCAATCTGAATTTTTGTTTTGATGGCATAAAAAGTCCTTCTTCCTCTTTCTTTCAGCTCATTCACAGCCATGCCAACATGTCCAGTGGGAGTGATGACTTAGCCTAAATATGTGTATTGTTCTGTGTGCTGGATTTCTATGTTTCTTAATGTGAATCTGAGAGTTGGATCTGCTTTGGAAGGTCATTATTTTGGTGTGCCCATGTTTGGCTGAACTTGTGGAGGATGTCCAAGCTCTGCTGTAAACCCTCTGGGGAGGGAGACAGGAGAACCAGGTCATCAGCAAACATCAGACATCAGGTGTCCTGGCACCACTGTGAAAGGTTTCCAACCTCCCCTGTATACGTCTGCTCATCATTGTTGCTGATGCGACCAACAACCACCGTGTCATCTGCAAATTTCACGATGATGTTGGAGTTGCTTGTGGCCACACAGTCATGTGTGTATAGGGTGAAGAGCAGGGGGCTGAGGACACAGCCCTGTGGTGCTCCGGTGTTGAGGGTGCAGGGGCTGGAGGTGGGTCTGCCCACTCTGACCACCTGGGATCTGTTCGTCAGGAAGTCCAGGATCCAAGCACACAGGGAGGTGTTAAGTCCGAGGTTGATCAGCTTGGAATGGAGGTGGGCGGGGACTATGGTGTTGAAAGCTGAACTAAAATCAATGAACAGCAGTCTCACATAGTCCCCCTTCCTTCTGTCCAGATGGGTGAGGGTGGTGTGCAGTACCTGGGAGACAGCATCATCTGTGGATCTGTTCAGTCTGTATGCGAACTGAAGTGGATCCAGAGACTCAGGGAGCAAGGAGCAGATTTGCATCTTGATGAGTCTCTCAAAGCACTTCATCACTTCTGAGGTGACTGCTGCTGGGCAATAGTCATTAAGGCAAGCTGGAGAGGCATTCTTCGGTACAGGGACAATAATGGCTTTTTTTTAGGCATGTGGGGACCACAGACTGACTCAGGGAGAGGTTGAAGATGGTGTTAAACACTGGAGCTAACAGGTCAGCACAGGACTTCAGCACTCTGCAAGAAATACCATCTGGCCCGGCAGCCTTCCTGGTGTTTACCTTTCTCAGTGTCCTCCTCACGTCGTGCTCTGACACAGTGAGCGGGTGCGAGTGTGCCGCTCCGGCCTCGGAGGTCCTGCTGGTTTATAAAATTATTTCTGCGTTTACTTACAGTTTTTCCGTCCAAAAGTTGTTGTTTTTAAGGACTCATTTTCATGTCAACTGTCAGTTTACATGCACACAGATAACAGCATTTAAAACAACTGATTTGAAAATGTTTTCCCTAATATTTATATATATGTTTGTTCTGGCACTTTCCCAGCACACACATCTCACACTCCAAACAAACTCTTCAAAATATGGATGACTCCATGCTGGCTAAAGTGGGCAAGAATCTGAGTGAAGCCATGACAATTCTTGGAGATGGAGAGAGGTAAGCTTAAAAGCCTTATATCATAATGTGATATAGAAAATGAAATCAAACCTTAAAGGTGCAATATAAGAAAACAATGATTTTCTGATAAGCATATGATTTCAGTGGAGGTGGACCTGGACTATTTCAGTCTCTAGACATGTAAATTGTCTTCGATGGGTACCATCATCAGAACAAAAATCATCTTTATGTTTATTTAAAGTTTAATTTCGTACCAAGGCATTTGTAAATCAATGTAAATGCAAATTACGGCACCTTAAAATCTGAAATATATATATTTTTTGGTATGTGCTTTTGTTTAGAGACCTGCAAGCAAGAACAGAGAGGCAGCACTTAGGTAGAACAAGCATCCCTGGCCCCCTGCAAGGAGAGTAAGATACACACACACACACACACACACACACACACACACACACACACACACACACACACACACACACACACACACACACACACACACACCTGTAGTGGGACGGTAAGCCGGTTTCAACATCATAACGGTTATTATGTTCTGCCATAATATTGATTTTTGCAATACATTTATTACCTGATGAACATGCATTTGGTTGTAGTGCATACATCCGACACCACTGATGCCAAAATACCTGCCACAGGGGCAGCTAAAAAAGTAGTAGTGTAACATTGTGATTTGTGATGTACAAAAACTCAGATTAAGTCCCAGTTTTCTGCATAGCTTGCACTGACATGAGCAGCCCAGTGTGCTGGAAAGGCTTTGCAATCCCATTACAACAGTTCTACCTGCAGCTTGGGCGACTGTGACTAAGTTGGTAAAATCATTGTCTCTCAACCGAAAGGTGGAGGGTTCGATTCCCAACTTCTGCAGCAACGCCCGATGTGTCCTTGGGCAAGACACCCCAAGGCATCCAGAGACACTTAACCCCGAATTGCTCCCGCTGCTTCATCAGCGGCTTATGAAGGCGTATGAATGGGAGTAGTTACTTCTGATAGTCTCACTACATAGCAACCACTGCCATCAGTGTGTGAATGGGTGTGAATGGGTAGGTGTGACATGTGGTGTAAAAAGTACTTTGAGTAGTCTAGAAAACTAGAAAAGTGCTGTACTAGAGAAAAAGCTCAAGTCCATTTACCATTTCCTTAACACTAGCTGTGTTTCAACAGAAGATTCACTTGTCTGTGACTTGTGATTAAAGGAGCAGCTGTAAATACAGTTATTTCCTACTCACTGTTAAGATAAGTTAGATTTGATTATTAATTATATTATATCTGAAAAATTCTTCAGAATAAAAGTAGACAGTTATTCTGTTCTGAAAATGCTTTTACTATGAAACAGCCAAATCGAGTAATGGGTTGTTTTCAGTCACAGCTTAACCCAACTATTTAGAAGAGAAACAAAATTTACAGATTCAGTTTTAAGCTACAACCTCCTGAAAACTGACTAAACAGTGTCTTACAAAAATATATTTTTCTGGTGCACAGACATGAGACATGGCACCACAAGCTTTTCTTCTGATTTGTAATACCCCTATAAAATACCATTACCACAAAAAGCAAAAAACAAACAATATATACGGATATATTGCCCACCACTTACAATCACACACTCACACTCACAAAAACACACATCGGTTAAGATTTAAGCTGATCGAGAGGGGAGGAGGAAGAGAGGCCGACAAAACACTTTGTCATAAGGTTTGTTTTTACTTTAAAATGGTTTGCAGTGTTACAAGTGTTTTAATATATTGTTGTGAATCAATTATACTAATAATTGGTTTCTCTGCTTGTTTTTTGTGCAGTGGTCAGGATGTTGCAACAATTCTGAACTTAGTTAACAACCTTATTCATGAAGAGGGGGAGAAAGAGGACAAGCTCAGTCAGCAGTAAGTGGAAATATTCTCTGAAAAATTAAATAAACATAATGTGGTAAGCTTTTTTTACCTTGAGTTTTAGAACCATTTAGTGATCGGACACTTTTATATGAATCTTACCAAAATCATGCAGAGTCCAAATCTAATAATGTTTTAGAAATCTAGAATCTGTTTCGTGAAATGCTCTGTCAATGACGAGACAGTGTCAAAAGAAGTTGCTTAAAATATATTAGACCAAAAAATTGCAATAATGTTAAAAGAAAGGAAAAGACATTGAAGAAGAACTGTTACTGCTTTTCAAAAGTAGTGTTATTGGAAATATAAGAAGTACAAAGTTTAACAATTATGCTTTTGGTTTCCAGTAGGATGCAGAATCTGGGTGAACAAGGATACATGGCCCTGCTAGGTCACAGCCTTGCAGCCTTTGTGTCAGTGTTGGACATAGTAAGACTGCGAAAACTGTCAACCAGGATCCTTTCTGACACCACACTGTGGCTCTGCAGACTTTTCAGGTAGGCCTGTGGCTACAAGTATGCAATGCCACTTTAGATTTAAGTAAATACTTCTTTTTAGCTGTGAAGTTTAAAGGATTTAAAACCCAGCATAATTAGGAGCACAGTATCTCTACACATGGCAGTGGGGCACAGCATAGCAGTTTGAACCACAGTTATAAACAAATCTACTTTTGAAATATGTAACTTTAATTCAAATGTAATGCTTTTATTAAAACAATATTTATAGTACAATAAATGTTAAAATGTCTGTTATAACCCAGCGTACACTGTACGTTTGTATACAAACTTCTCAATCCCCAGCTTCTGCAGCAACATGTCCGATGTGTCCTTGGGATAGACACTTACAGGTCTCACTACATAGCAGTCTCTGCCATCAGGGTGGGAATGTGTGTGACTGGGCAGGTGTGACATGGGGTGTAAAAGCGCTTTGAGTAGTCAGAAGACTAGAAAAGCGCTATACAAGCTTTACCATTTACAAATTCATGGTGTATAAGTTTACACTGTATGACCTGATTGTAAGGCCTTACAATCATACTGTACGAGGGAAATTGGGACAGAGCATTGATAATTGTCCATAGATGGTCTCACAGGCGGATGTGGAAGTCAGCTCTATGTTTTTTCCAGTTGTCTCATATGCACAGCTCAAATAAACATAGTGTCAAAAATGCTTTAACTCTTCATGTGTGGTAATGATGTGGTACTCCTAAGTAGTGTTAAAACAAAATGCCCTCCTGATGGCAATGTCAAGCGCTTAAACATTTTGAAAAGTAGCTAACATTTTTACTTAATTTAGGTTTTCTTATTTTTTTTATTTTTTAAATTATATGGAACAAATGACACCATCTCCAGCAGTGTTTAGCCTAGCTGTCATGTCTGCACTCCAACTGGTTTCTCAACAAAGGGGCGGAGCTGACTGGCATATCCTATGGCCATTACTATTGACAAGAAACTCATACAACCCCAATTAAAAAAATCTGAAGTATCCCTTTCAGTGTTAATATCATTTAAACTGGTATTAATAATAGTACACACCTCCTGCAGTAGTGATGAATGTGGACATAAGCTAATTTATAGTGACCAAAGCCCTTTTTGCTATTTCTACTGTTAAGTCTGGTATTGTTATAGCATCATAAATGGGGTGTTTGATAGGACGATCTTTTATCGTGAAGGAAAATAGTATCCGCCTACAGTTCACATTGCTCATACACGGCAGATTTTTTTCTGCCAAATCACACTATTTGCAGACACACAGTTAAATCAATATAGTGAACTGTAGGTAGTGTCGCCGACTTTTTATTCCCCTTACCTTTTGCTTCATAACGGAGCGGGATTCATGGCTGAAAATGAAAACAAAACTTAAGAGTTAATGAGTTAAGATGATGTGCCAAAAGCATGTGTAGTTTCATATCTGCATAAGTAAAGCCCCAACTCAACTATTTGTGTCTGTTATTGGTCTGCCTTGTTAAAGTCTGTCTCATGTTTAGAGCCAGTCTGTGTCCTGTTCATCATTTTACAGATAAACAAGGTCTTGCAAGTTGAAGTGAAAACTTCTCTTGAACTGTTTTTACCGACTACACAAGGAAGTAGCCTATTTCCTTATTAGTGAAACCTTTAGGACAAGATGCTCCATGTTTGTCATTTAAAAATACAGGATGAACTTCTGATATAGACTAAAATAACAACTTTATTATTTTATTCTTTAAAGACTTTAAGAGTTCTACTTTCATCATTTTCCCGCAGGCTGGTCTCGAACTCGTTAATTTATGAGTTTATTCTCATAAATTTTTACGACTTTAATCTCGTAAATGTACGACTTTAATTTCGAATTTTTTTTTATTTTATTTTTATCGTGGCCCTAATCCTCCATCGTAAATACTTAACATTGTATATAAATGTAGAAAAAAATAAGGTTCACAAACGTATTTCTGATTCACACACAAATATTTATTGTTAAATATATATGCATTAGAAATCCAGAAATATATTATATAAATTCTATAAGTGTTTGTAATTTTCATCAAAAAACACATTTGGACCTCCTGTATTTACATGTAAATACGAACTGTTCAATCTGCATCGCGAGATGCCTTTAATAACCAAATAAAACTTTTCAATTATTTTAAATTGCATATTTTTTACCCATTATTGTGAAAAAATATACAAAAAGTCATTAAATTTAAAATACAACTATAGTCTTTATGTAAGATTAATGCTGAAATGGAAGTGATGTATAAAAAAAAGAAAATCATTTAAAAGTAAGTTTGCATATAACTGCAACAATCTAGGTGTCTGTTGCTCCTATGAATAAAAATACACACAGACATTAACGGTGTGTCAGTTAATTCATTTTTGTATGTCCACCCTGTCCTTCAGTTTATAAATGGAGATAGTTGTGTTCAGCTTGTACCCTTTCTTACAATATAGATATGTGGGGATGGTGGGGGCCCTAGTATCTAGCACAGTTATTTTTAGTGTCCCGATTTGAGATGTTTGGGGAAACCTTCTCTACATCATCAGTGATGAGTGTAATACCTTTACAACATCTGCATACTGAGATAAATTCAACACTATTATTCTTGCAGCTGCACCGCCAATTGCTGCAATCTCTATCACAATTACAGCTTGTGAGCCAATGTAGCTCCTCAGGAGCCATGGGATCCTATGTTTGAAATGGTTTATAACAATGAATTCCTACCACCCATCCATATTTACTGAGGTCCAAAGACATGCTGTGCTGAAGAATCCAGTGACAGTCCCAGGTTTTGACATAGGCCTGGAGAGAATGCTGTGCAGCTGCACTCTCTGTTGAAGGTACAGTTTCTGGTTTGATCAACTCAGCCATCGCCTTCCATGAGAACATGTATCAAATTGCACCTAGAGTAATACCTGGTGCATGATATTTGTGCTGGAAAATTGTGAGGTGTGAATTTTTTGATAACTTATCTGTTTTGATTTTATGAAGGATAAGAGTTATTCACAGCAGATAGCTGTGGCTCTTCAAACAGTCAATGACACATTATTCCACAATTTTCGCCTAAAATAAGGTTTTTCTTTTAGCCCTGTGGCTTCTATGGAACATCATGGACACAAAACTCAGAAACTGGAATACTCACAGGACTTTAGGGATTCAGGAAATGCATAATATACCCATACAATATCATTGTGAGACAATACTGTCTGTAAGCCATATATTTGAAGAATGACTGGCAGAAATCTCTCAAATTGAATCTCTCAGTAATTTTGTATTTTCAAAATAAGATGTTTTCTGTTTCTTAAAACATTGAAAAAATAAATAAAAACCAAATGTACAATTTGAGGTACAATACACTTTGCTCACTCACTTGCAAGGTGCTTCTGTAAGTACACACTACTCACGGTACTTCCTCTGGGAAAAAGATAATCTTCTGTAAAGCACCCCACCCACCCCACCCAGCTTTTCCAAAGCATTCAGCACATGCTTTCTGCTTCAATCAGTGCAGTCGATTCATCAAAGAAAGCATTTTATAACAAACAAAAGACATCTTAGTTTTTTTAGAATGTTAACATGTTGATACCACATGTTAAAGTTAAAGATAAACACAACTGATACAACTGTTCCAGCAGGTAAAGAATTGAGTTTGCCTGATAGCTAACTTGCTAGCTAGAGATGTGATTGATCGACAGACCGGAAACTAAGCTATCTTTTGGAGGGTATCAGAATCAGAATCAATTTATTTGCCAAGTATGTAAAGATACAAGGGATTTTACTTTGGTTTACATTGTTCTCAGTAAATGGTAATAGTAAATGGACTTGAGCTTATATAGCACTTTTCTAGTCTTCCGACTACTCAAAGCACTTTTACACCACAGGTCATACCCACACACCCTTCACACCCTTTCACACACTGATGGTAGTGATTGCTATGTAGTATCATCCATCAGAAGTAACTAATTCCATTCATATACCACCACTGAAGCAGTGGGAGCAATTCAGGGTTAAGTGTCTTGCCCAAGGACACATCGGACATGTTGCCCAGCTGGGGGATTGAACCCTTGACCTTCCGTTGAGAGGTGACGACTCTACCAACTGAGCCACAGCCGCCCAGTGTACAACTTGTAAATAAACAAACAGTTATGAACAAGTCATCAAGGAATATTGACTTGAGGTAAACATTTTAAATTTTTTACCAGTATGGTTTGGGTAACCCAACTTTGAGCAGCTCTCACGGATTTTCCTGGAGTTTAATTTAAATATTTGTACATGTGTTATAAAACACCCTTTTGAACACATTTGTGAAGACATTTCTTGCTAACGAATGTATTCCCTGATTAGCCAAATATCTGATAAAATTCCCTGACTATACAGGAGCTGAATCTGTTATAACCTCTAGTTTCTGGCACTAACATTTCTCATTTGTTACTAATTATACTAGGGCAGACAATACAACATGTTAAAAATATACTAAATAATAATGTGAAGTAATTCTTCCAAAGGTCATCCTATCAGATTAATTTGACCAGTAAATAACATCTTGTGTCCTTTTTTTTGTTTGTTTGTTTTTTGAAGTTCTCGTTCAAGAATAATCTGTTTCAATATTTTGGAAGATACAGGTCCACAGTAGATTTAAGTCATCAATAATAGAAAATGCTATATAAGAGTGAAAATCTATTTTCACAGACTGTGTCTCACTACTTTTCCATAAATTTGGCTAATCTGCCCATCAGGTATGAGAATGGCTCTGCTTACTTTCATGAGGATGACAGGGATGGCCTAGTTAAAGTCTGTCGACTGGTCATAAATGCACGTTATGAAGAATATGCCTCTGAAGGCTATGCAGTCCTCAGCTACAAACAGCCAGTCGTCTACCAGAGTGCCTCTGGTAGGCCTGGACTGGGACAACATCTATGCAGCCAGGTAGGACTTTAAGTATTTAAAATGTTTGCTTTTTGTTACACTAACTATTATATACAATAGGTGTTGGCATACCATACAGTATATTTGCAGTATATGGCCATGTAAAATATCTGTACAGTTAAGGGCCAATCATCATACATAAAAATTGTACTTCATTCTATGTGATTGCATAAATTATAGAGAAATTTAAATTTGAAGTATTTGTGTCATTAGCTCGGCCTCCCACTCTCTAGTCTGTGCACAGTCCCATGCAATACCATCTTTGGATCACAACACCAAATGGTAGGTGAACACAAAACATTATGTGTGATAGTTAAGAAAAAAATAATGTTGACTTATATCCTGCTTGTCACTATCAGGACATTGCTCTGTTGGACAAACTTATCAGAGAGGACATAGAAGCTGGCAAGCTTCCATTACTGTTGATCGCCAACGCAGGTCAAGGAAAATCACAACTTAAACACTTTTCTTTATTCTCTTTAGACTTGGTATATTACAGGAGTTTGACATTATATATTTTTTTTAAACAAAATTAGTTGCTCATGATACTTAATTTGCCTTTTTTTTTACAGGAACCCCATGGGCAGGACATACAGACAAGTTGGGTCGTCTGAAGAACCTCTGTGACCAGTACGGCATTTGGCTTCATGTTGAGGGGTGAGTCAGTTCTATTAGTTCTTTTACCGTATTCAACTATTTTCTTAATGTTACACTAAAAGACAGACTTTATTCTCCATACTGTGAAGTTATCATTAATTATAGTATTTCATTTTTAACAGTGTCAACCTGGCAACCCTGGCACTGGATCAGGTCCCCTCTGCTACCATGGTAATCTAATTTTAAAAAAATGCTCAAATCCAGTTGAGGGTATAATTTTTAAGGATAATTGTAGCAAGAGTTAAATACACTGATGAAACTTTCTTCATCATGGTTAATAATGAATACATAGATTTACATTTTTGACCAACATAATACAGACACACTTGCCACCAAACTGCCTCCTTTTGGCAATTTCAATTTAAGTGATTAGGGACAAATGTTTTGTTTAGTTTAAATCAATATTCTTAAGATTAATTCTTAAAAATTCAAAAGGGCCAGATTTGAAAACCAGGAAATTTAATCCGGCTTGACATTTTCAGCAGCAATCACTTTTTTCTGCTTTTTTTATGGACAAATTTGAAATAAATTCAAATGAATATAATAAAATACAAACATTTATTTTGTTTTACATTTGAAATGATTACAAAATAAAAACAAAGTTTGTCACATATGTGACAAAGGCACATCAAAGGGCATAAACAGAATTAACTCTATGCCTTAACTGCACAGAACCATATTGTGTTACTGGCAATAACCAGTAACACAATATTTCTTTCTGCCTGTTTGTCATTCTTCCTCCTTTGTCTACCATTCACACACACAGAAAACAAGTTTGTGTTACATTTGAAATAAAACACATTTGGTCACATATCTGGCAGAAGCAAATTTAAGTGCATAGACATTATTAAACCATTAAATCAGTCCTATTATTGCATAGAACCATAACAAAAATGTGACAACATTAACTGATAACACACACTGCATCTCTACCATTTTCTCCCTCCAATTTGTCAATCTCATACAAAACAGTTTAACATTCTTAATTAAATATTGTAGCCACATTTGACCCAATCATTTTAAAGTGCAAAAACAGAATAAAGAGCTCCAAATACCATATCAGATTGTCTGAATGCCGCACTTCGACCTGAAAGTAAACAAGGGCTGGTGTTGCTAACATTAGCAATGCTTGGCAAACCTATTGACATTGTTTACAGACGGCCAAATTCAACCCACAATGAACTGCTTTTTGGTTCACTTCCCGCACTTCCCACACCAACCCGCCCCAAGTGTACCAGAATTTGTTTCAAAAGGACCAAACAGCTTAGGTGTGAATGCACCCTAAGTCGTAAATCTCCAAGCATTTAGTCGTAAATTTACGAGAATAAAGTAATTAATTTACCATATTGAATACGTAAATCGATTTATATGGTATGGTTAAAATCATTATTCTGAAAGGTTTTAGGCCTATCAGAAGAGCAGCCATCTGCCTGCGCGAAAATGAAGAAAGGGGAACACTCAAAGTAATTTCTCCTGCCATAAAAAAAGAGACAATTTCCTCAAAGTCAGTCTTATTCTTTTTTCAGAAAAGTCCCAGTTTCTAGCAGTATCGTTTCAGGGTCCTTCTACTTATGACAATGTGATGCTGATGTATCATATCTGTATAAGTATAGACCCAACACAACTTATGTGATATTTTGAGAACTTGTCAAATTGTCCACGGAGAGTTAATACTTAGCCAACCTGTGTTACAGACTACACAATAAGGAAGTATTTCCTTATTTCTGAAAATAAAGTATAAGATGCTCCAGATTTTTTTTTTTCGCAGTGTAGCTGCTATAGACTATAGACTAAAATAACAACTATATTCTTGTAAATGTATGGCTTTCTTCTCTTACAACTTTCTTCTTATAATGACTTAATCTCGAAATCTAAAAAAAAAATCCCCTTAATGTGGCCCTAGTACTCATTTGTAGTTTACAGAGGAAAAGGGATCTGCCTTCCTGTCATTATTTTGCATAAGCACTCACGATTTCTCTGTCACTGTGCTGTCCTGTTAGAATAAAAATACAATTATAACAAAGATGTAAGTGAAGCCTAAAAGCGCAAGAATACTATATTCGATTTGTGAAAAGAGGTACAATCACATGTACAAAATGTAAAACATAGATATGGAAGTTATTTTAGAGAAAGATTTCCACAGCTGCAAAATTATGAATAATAATTTAATTTTATGAGTTGCTATGTTGTAATCATTTTGTTCATAGTAGCCATTGACCCAGAAAATACCATCTAACATTGCATTCATCTTGAGACTTGTACATTATAAATGTGTTTATTGTTCTCTCTCCAGGCAGCTAACAAAAGTGACAGTATGACACTGACACCATGTCAATGGCTGGGACTGCCTTCAAAAACAGCTGTCACCCTTTACAGACAGGAAGACCCAGCACTGGTACTGCATGTTATTTCATTCATAAGTGGCCTCTAGAGCAAGCTAAACACACATGCATATAAACACACACCGCTAGTCAATGTGTGTGCTTCCACCAGTTCTACCGCGCAACATAGAGGTCGTTAATAGTCTGCAGACCAGGTCAGTAAATCTAGATTGGAGCAGGATTGCATGAATAGGTTGTTGCGAAAGATAGGGGCTTGGCCTGATAGTGAGTGCAGGCCAAACATTTTCCTAAACTGACTCCAAATCTTGAATGTGTTTGTTACAATCCGGATTAGGGCAATTTTTCTGACTGAAATAGCTGAAAGCAAACCACTGACCAAAGCAAGGAGGAAATTCCAAGCTGAACCCACTGTGGCTATTTGCCCCATGTTTTACATTAGCTCACGAAGAGAAGCTTGTTATTATTGCAGCCCAGTGGTAGTGGTGGAGGTTTGGGAGTGCTAGCCCACCTTTGGATTTGGGAAGGTGAAGGACCGTTCGACTGATTTGTGCCTGATTATTACACATCAGTGTGTGAGTGTGACATAGGGTTAGGGTTACTTTAATTTAGGGTGACTTTGAGTAGTCAGAAGACTAGAAAAGCGCTTTACAAGCTCAAGTCCATTTACCATTTCCCTCAATTTGGATTGTTGTGATTTCTTGAAGTTGGTGACAATGAGATGATTTGATTGCCTAGGTAAGTTTTAAAGGACTCCCAGAGTGTATCACTACCATTATCTGGTGTGTCGTTAATTTAGAAGAATTTAATTTGTGTGCCAAAAAAGTATTTAAATTCAGGTTCAGTTAGCAAATGTGAATTAAATCCCCAAAGCACATTGCATGCTTTACTATGAGGAAAGTTATTATTGAGAGAAGTGGGAGCATGATCTGAAAAAACTATGCTGTGGTTTTCACAAGAAAGTGAATTTGGAAGTAGTCTATTACTGAGTAGACAAGAATGAGAAGACTTTGCTGAATTTGTACTCTTAGTCCTCCAGGAATCTGTCAAGCCTGATTGGATAAGAGTTCATCATTGTCTGAGGGTGGGGCATATACTGTATACTAAGGCCAGGACCTCAGGAGTATTCTTTAATTTGCCCGATGCTATAACATATCACGCATTAGGGATCAAAACGATGGTAGACTGTTCAAACACATTTTCCCTGTGATAGCCGCCCCTCTAGCCCTCTTTAGATAACGGGGTGTCATCCCCACAACCACTGCCGTTTTCATTCATGCATGGCCTGCTCCAACCTCCACCTCAGGGGCAACAGCAACTGGAGCAATACAAAGGAAAAATACTTACTGCATATTATCCCATATGCTCTTTTGTAAAGTGTCTCAAGATAACACTTGTTATGAATTGGTGTTATACAAATAATGATTGATTGATCAACCTTTCCTTACTGCACAGAGCAGACTAGCTCTAAATTATCCCTGCTGCAAAGAATTTGGTTTGCAATTTTGTCACCAGTGCAAGATTGATTTGCCCACACACATTGATTTTTTGTACTTACATTTGGAGGAAGTAGAGATGCACCATCTATCTTACAGTATATGGTTTTGTGTCTCAGTCTCTAGCAGCAGGTTTGACCTCCAGCCAGCCAGTGGTGAAGCTTCGAGCACTGCCCGTCTGGCTCTCTCTGCAGCATCTTGGTCACAATGGAATTGTCCATAAGATCAGATATGCCACTGAACTGGTGAGCTGTCCATTAACCACATACTGAAATTTTTAATCAACTGTTATTGTACATAAGGTTTTACATGCTGTCACAAGCTTAGAAGTATTTTCCTCACAATGACATTTTCTGGTATGGTACCAGAGTTAAAGGCTAAATGGCGCTCACCAAAGATATCTGCAAAGTACTTTATTGCCAGTGACATTGCACTAAAATACAAGATAGATTGAATATATAGATAGATTGCCCCTTTATTTGTCAGGAGGGTTCCGCATGTACCACTCCATGAAAACTGAGATGAAATACCAACAGTGCCAGTTAGAACATGAACAGTGCAGCATGCTGCTGAAACAACATACATTTATTAAAACACACAACATATTCAGTAATGTTGCACATTCAAAAGCAAATGCAAACTCCTGAAACAAATGCAACGGCTGAAACAGGCTGCAAAAGAAACAAACGTGCTGCAAAAGAAACAAACACACTGCAAAAAGGCTAAACAACTGCATTAACATCAAAAATGAGTGAGGTCAAAAACTCCCATATTCAGAAAACCACTGCAAATACAGAAACACTGCATGTTCAGCCTTCATAGCGGAAGTGCTCCAGGCCTATAGGGGCGCTCTGTTGAACTGTTTTTTTAAGGGAGAGAGTAAGAGTGACCGGTACTGAAAGTTTTGTTTAGATAAGAAAGTTGTATCGTTGAAAAGACACAGAATAACATCAATATAACAGAAACACGGAGAGTCCGGTCTGGATTTTAACATAAGGGATGTGATAGGTGAGAGGGGGTTCTTGCCTGGAGCCAAGCCAGACACCTCACTGCGGTCCTACCCCATGCTTCCAGTTTCTTTTACAAGGATTAATTTTCCATATGCTGTCTCAAATTTAGAAATCCATTTATAATGGAACCTTTATGATGGATCTTGATTGACCTTCTCACAGCAAGAGAAAATTAGCAGATTTCCTACCTTATTGAAAAAGTACCTTAAAAAAATGTAAAAACTGACATTTATTGAAAATACATTTTCTCTATAAGGTCATATGAGTTATTTTACAACTGTAAAATCTGTTTTTAATTTTTTTTCTCCCTTTTAGAGCCAGCATCTTCTACGGAAGCTTAAAACTCTGGCCTCTATCAAAACATCGGTAGGTGTATTTTTTTATTCTGAGCATAAATAACATAATGTTTAGCTTAGAGGTGAAATTTCCTCATTACTGACCCATATGACTGAGGTTGAGGAGGGGGAAGCAACTTGGAAGAAAAGCTTGCTTTGCAAAAAAAGAAACCTTCAGCTTGGTAGACTAGGACTTACTATGAGATGGACCGGCTATGTCAGAGGATAAAATCTGGCGTTGTAACCTGAGGTTTGCTAGGTTTCTTGAAGGAGTGGCGTTTGATGACAGTTGGTTTTCTAAACAACTTTTATTGCGACAGCACATGGTATTGAACCCATCGGGGGCTTTGAAATTGACCAAGCACATCAGCTCAGTTTGCCTTGCCCTACACTTAACCAGAGACCCAGAAACTTTATATTTTTGGCATGATTGCCAGTACGGGCCGTCAGAGTCAACAGATAGAATGGGAAGGAAAACAGGTGATAATCTTCTTAATATTTACTGGACTGAAATGCCATTTAGAATATAGGTTTTTCCTTTATTTATTAGCTGCTGTCTCTTCCTTACATAAAGCCACTGAAACGGGTCAGGAGGGGTGAGGGAAGTGTGGAGGCAGGAGGGTCGGCGGTATCTGAGGGATTAAGGAGGTGTACATGTAACGTTTACACGTTCCTTCTTGTTAAGGCTCCCTTTTATATTAGCCTTTTTAAATTAACTTTATTTGCCATGTCTCCCTAAGTTTATTATGCAACTTACAGTAAATGTGCCAGTTTAAATCGTTTTTGAACATCTGTTTTGCCCTGTTTCCTACAACATGGCATAAGTGTAAGTTGTCTTATTGTACACTGATTATTGTGGTTGTGCATGTCATAAAGCAGATTTGTATTTGTAATTTATTTCAAGGATAGCCCCTTGAGATGCATCATCTCATTTTCAAGGGGGTCCTTACAAAACATAAATTAATCATCATAATACAAAATAAAAATAAAAGGTAAATCCAAAACATAATACCAAACATTTAAACACAGAGACACCCACACCACAAACACACACACACTCACATTCACTCACACTTAATGCTCCCCAAGCCTAGCCACCCACCAACAATCAGAAAAAGTCTGAAGAGAAAAAAAAAATATATAATAATAATAATAAAAAGAGAAAAAAGGAAAGAAAGAAAGGAAAACCTCTGCATATATATATATGCATACACACTATACAGTACTTACACACATAGTGTACGCAACATTAAGGCACAAGGTACAGAACAGTACATACATGTAGATATGAGGTACATGAGCGCAAGCAAGAGGAGAGCAGGTCCAGACAAACTAAGTTGAACAGAGAAAGAAAATCAAAAGCAAGAGCAGGATGTTTGACAATGAGTAAGTAGAGATGATTTAAAGATATGAAAAGAGGTGATAGATCTAAGTGAGCGAGGTAGGTTATTCCAGTCTGATGGAGCTTTAAATTTAAATGCACGGCGACCAATTTCTTTCCTGATTCTTGGTGTGAGGAAAAATAGATGATCAGTATGCCTTAGGCTATACTGTGAACTGTAAGGGATTAGAAATTGTTTCAAGTACGGAGGAAAATTAAAATAGATACATTTAAAAGTAAATAGCGACCAGTGAAATGTCCTTCTGGACTTGGGAGCCAGCCAATTCAAGGACTCATACATTAGGCAGTGATGGGTCCTATATGGACACCTCAGAACAAATCTACAGAGACTGTTGTATAAGATAGTGAGAGGTCGAAGATTTGTCTCTGAGGTGTTCCCATAGATAACATCAGCGTAATCAAGGATTCGCAGCACCAATTGTGTCACGATTCTTCTCCAGACTTGCAGTGAAAAACATTCAACAGAACGATAAAGTGATTTTAGACGACCATATATTTTCTTAGAAATTGAGTTGATATGAGGTTTGAAAGATAACTAGGAATATAGCCAAAGACCCAAATATTTAAATTCATCTACTTTTTCTAATGCTGTTCCATCCAGGAAATTAATATGCCATTTTTTTGTTAAGGGCAAAGAATCTGGTCGAGTGCAGAACAACATAAAATATGATTTTTTCTTATTCAGAAGAAGTTATGTATGCAGATGACATGTATTTGATTTTTTTGTGCCCAACAGATGGAGGATGAACTAAGCTCTCCTGTGGTTCTATTCAAGTTTTCCCAGGAAGTAAATTCAAGTAAGGGTCACACTCTCCTGACCAGTCATGGATAGATGTTTTTTCCCATAGAGTGGGATTTTCTGGCACAACTTCACCAACTACCAATGAAAGGCTTGAAGAGGTCAAAAAGCTCCAGCAACACTTGTAGTATGAAGATCAACAACCAATTAGACCGACTCATTTCAGCTTGTGGCCAATGACCCTGATGAACACCACAACCCAAAACACGTTGGTCAAATTCAATAATAAAGCTGATATTCTTAGTACAAGTGTTGCTGGAGCTTTTTGACCTTCTTCATTTAAAAAATAGCAATAGTGAAACAGTAATGCACTACTGGATATGATCTCTATAGGGAACCTTTTTTTTATGTTAGCCCTGAAAACAAATGTTCAAACTAAATGAAGGATTTGTGTAATTCTATATTCTTGGCACACAGGTTTACTTAATAGTTTCTAGAGCTTCTAACTGAATCTCATGGGCATCATTTGTAGTTGTAACATTCTTAGTTGTCATCAAATGACCAAAATATAGAGCTATGGTCTCATGAAGTAGGGGGATGAATATAAACAGAGTAAGTATCTACAGTATATCTGTTCAAAAAGATTGCCTCTGTTGCCACATTGGAAAGTTCTCCTTTCAACTGCTGTCCAATTACTTTTGCTAATTAACCTTGTACCTCTTCTATTCCCAGTGGTTTCTGTGAGGTGTTATGGTGTTGTGTTCCCATACAGCAAATGCCCTGTTTTGGTGTCAGTTTAGACTCCTGTCTGAGGTCTTTTCAGTTTCATTGATGTGTTGTCCCCTACATCTATAAGAAATGTAATGTGATGGCAATGGCATTCGTTTCCCTATTAGGGTGGTAACTGCAACCTAAGGTGATGAATGATGTGTGGAAAGGGCTTTCTCCTTGTGGCTTAAAGAACGGAGCTTATATTTAAGAGTGTCCTCACTGATCCTTCATGCCACTATTCACAAATTTAATTGTAGTATAGCTCTTGTATAGTTTTATTCTGACTCGCCAATGATTTGTTTCCCTTTGTTGTAAGCACCCAATGGGCATTCAGTGGAAGGTTACAGCCCTGGGGAGAAAGAGTTGCTTGATTCCATCAACAGATGGGTAAGTGTACTGGGATGCTAGTCAAATGCTAGCTTTTGTGGCCGAAATGTTTTTGTAGCGTTATTAAGATGTTATATCTTTATTTAACCTCGGATTTAAGAAGGGGCACCACTTCCTGTTAAAGGAAGAAAATAACTTTAATGGTATAAGTTAATTAATTAATCAGTCAGTTTCATATCTTGAAATAATTAAGTTCTGGAAATGTTAAACAAGAAAACACACAGACAAAGTCCTGAATTTTATGTGTAAAATTGAATATAAAAAGGGGTAAACAATGAGGTATAGATGAAACAGATAAAGAATATGATTATTATGATCAGGATAAGGCAATTATAATGTATGGTGACATTATATATTTAGTAATGAGATAAGACGCGATATTGTTTGAATGACTTAATCAGAAAATGGTCAAAAAGAAAAAGTTGATGAAGGAATTTTGGGATTCTATTTGGATTTAAAGGAGGGCTCTGAATAGACAGGACTCAAGACTTAATCTTCCAACACCCCTTGCCACCAACAGTCTTACTGTGAGATGTGTTCAATTGAACTCCGCCGGCTGGTCCCGCGTTTCAGTCTCTGGCAAGCGGTTCTTTTCAGGCCCAGAGAGGTCCACGGGCCAGATTAGATGCCTTAACAACTTGGTCGGAGTATGCAGCCGGGATGGAGATTGTACGTTGGTTCAGCCGTCGTCTCAGAAGCTCCAAGAGGATCCAACAGGAAAAAATATTAAAGAGTCTTTTGATACGTCGATTTCCAATTCAGATTAACCGGATGGCCATCTTGATGAATCCAAATTAAGGAATTGGTGATCAAAATTGAAGAGCAAAGACTTTGGAGAAGAAAGTTCAAAAACCTTGCTTGAGCCAGAAAGAACTGATGTTCCAAAAATTTTGCGTGAAAAAGAAAGTTCGGCAGAGACTCGTCTCTACGGCACAAACTTAAAAGAAGTGATTCGGACCGAAGTCCGAAGAGAAGCGAGCAAGAGCTGAAGCTCTAAACTTCACAAACCAAAAACAAAACTAAAACTGGAGATCTGAGCTCAGTGTGAACTCTTATCTGCTGGCTGAGGGAAGGGGGATCTGCAGGAGAAGAGTCACTCCCATTCTGACCAGAGGACAATTGTTTAAACTAAACCGAGTTTACTCAATAAGAATAAGAATAAGAATCTAAACATATATACGTCACCATACATTCATTTCGATATTATTTCTATCAGATCCACGTTGATGTAGGTTCACGTCATATATTTAGACAAACATTTCTGTCAGATTCATGTTGAGATGAAAATCACACCATCTGGGAACATCCTCAGTTAATCCCAGCCTGTAGGTGAACAAAAACATGTTATACAGTCAACATTCTTAATAAGACATATTAATAAAGTAGGAAAAGAAATTGGTGTCTTTAAATAACACCTTCTATAGCTAATATCAAAGAGTATGCTTTATAACATGTCTAAATGTATAATTATGAAGGTTACGTATTCATGGATATTCTAACACTAGATGGCAATAGCGCTCCACGTCAAATTCCTATTAAACATAATATAACTCTTATTCCTATTCTGAAGATCAGATTTTGAGTTTAAAAAGATGATTATAATACATTCAATGTGACAATTACAAATATCTAGATGAAGAAAGACATAAATGTTCATTTGATGCAGAATTGAACGCCGTGGTTTAATCAGCTCTTCAGCAGTCCTTCAACAGATGGTCAATTTTACGACTTTGCAGAGACTGGTTTCGGTCACAGTTCATGTCGTTGGGGTCAATTCATAGATAGCAGAGTGTTCTGTTTCCGCTCGGTTGTTTATTCAAGGTGTTGTAAAAGTTCATAATATCCTGTCTGAGAGGGAGACTTAAATCATTGATCAGTTCCTTTGTTCCTAAACAAAAATAAACCCAGATGTTAATCCACAGTTCTGAGTCCTACAGGAAGAGAGGTTGTAAAACGTGGCTGCTGATAACGGCTACATTTTTGACATTGATATCATATCTATCAACAATTTGCTATGTAAAAATTGCTTTATGACATATTTATGGTGGCCCTGAAGGTCAACTGTGCAAATATTTCATGATTGCGAAAAAAATTCACTACATGCTAAAGTATTTCATTAACCCCAAAACATCTTAAAAAGCATTAACATTTTCAGGGACTGTGAAATATATTTCACTTGCTGCAAAAGTTTTGTTCCATCACCGTGGCTTATATGAATCCCCGCTGAGTTACCACAGTAATTTAGGCTGCATGGGGAAGAAGTCTGCTCCGGACCAGGCTACCTGTCGAGCTCATAGTTTAGCTGTATGTCAAAGAATGTCCGACAAGTAGACACAGACTCCTAAATGACCGTTTTGTCAGGGGAATTTCCGCACTGACGTCACTCATGTCATGTTATAATGATAAAAAAGCCCAGCTTTGTCTCCGAAATCAATCATACATAAAAACCTTTATTATATTGCAGAAGTCAGACATCAAATGCAACTACAAGTAAAAGGAAAATGATTTCATAAAAAACATATAAAATAATTCACATCCCACTGCTTTGTCTCTGATTGGCTGGTAATACAAGAGAGACAGGCAGACAGACCAACAGAAAGAGAGAGAGAGAGAGAGAGAGAGAGAGAGAGAGAGAGCGAGAGAGCTATGCCAATAAAGCATGATAAACTGAAATGGAAATTTAGTTAGAGAATTTAATAAATAGACAGAGAGTGAAAGAATGAAAGATAACCACTATTCTTCCTGGTATAAATGGCATGTTTTATTTATTTTGACAAATAATGAGACAATAAAATTGATATTTCAATTTATTAACTGACCACTGTGGAATATATTTATATATTTTATTTAACACAAACACACACACGCCTAAACCAGTAGGGCTAATTACAGCCTTAATGCATTGCACATATAGTTATGTTGGTTTCCAGTTGGTCTGCAACACTATTTTGAACATACTTCTGATGTTATCTAGACTATTGATCATAAAGTAACACAATGTACGCAGAGGGGGGAGGCAAACAGAGATCTACTCCTGGATTTAAAGCTTTTTCAGGTGCACAGCTGCTTTAAAGAGACATCCTCTCATTGGACACTGTAATAATAATATAATAGAACAATTACACCTTAAGGGATGCACTCATTATACATTTGCACTACTTTCATTCAGACAGTGCTGTACCTTGCCATATAAATGATGTTTCGCAGCTGTATAATACAGGTCTGCTCTATATCTGACATGTCTAATTTGAATCTTTTATTCTTATTCATGTAGGGTTCATTTACACTATTAAAAGAAGGTACAAGACACTGCAGATAACTCTTTCCAAAGCCGCAAACACACAACAGTCATGTCATCATCTACTTCGATTATCTGCTTCAAATATGCCAGAGCCAAATGTCTTCATACAAATATTACCAAGATGATTTGATATGATAAATCTGTGTAGATATATATATATATAGCCTATGTATATAGTATGTACTGTATGTAGTATTCTTTGTTTGTCCTTAGCTTTTCTTTTTCGCCCTTTATAGATATCCCAACAATACCTACCCTACCTTTCACTTACCTTTGGAAATTCTCTCATTCACACTCATACATATACCCACACATATACTAAATACCATGTTCTAATGTGGTTTTACTATTTGAGTAATGGCATCACTTAAGGTCAAAAAGAAGAAGAAACATTCAATCAGTTAAGAAAAACGTGTTGTCAGATACCTATCTGAAACAGAGCACCACAAACTAAACAAATCTTAGGCCAATAAAGTATTTCACTCAACGCACCAATGAGGCAGAAAGAGGGGAGTTTCTATTTTAATACATAGACAGGTTAATTTTTCACCAAAAATGGTTCATAAAGACTCTTAGGGAAGATTTAGTTTCCTTCATGAACATATACGCTCAAAATTAGGATGAGCCTGGTTTCATTAAGAAAATATTTGCTACAATACAGCACAGTAAGGGTATCCTTCTGCTGGTAGGGGATTTTAACTTTGTTATGTCTCAGTTTATGGATAGACAACCGTCCTCAGGGGCCTATACTCCTAGAATGAGCAAAAGGCTAAAACATCTCTCCATAGAGTCAGCTTTTGCAGATATTTGTTGAAGTAAATTTCCCAAAGGAAAAGACTTCCCATTGTACTCTGTCATCCTATCATAGGGCGGCAGTAGGGATGGGATCTAGGTAACAGGCCTTCAACCAAACAATGGAGGTTAAATGCATCACATCTAAATGATGAAGGAGTTCCTTACCTTAGTGACAACTGAACTGATACATTCAATTTTACACTCTGTTATTGAGACATGCTTCACACACATAGACTGAAATACACACACATGCACAAACAGGATCCTATGGACATGCACTAGACAACATTCTTTTATATTTAGCTGATCCTGCAACTACAATCCCTCACTTAAAATACCTTATTTCCACCTATGGGTTCCTCTCAGGTTATAACGTAAATGTTGACAAAACCATGGCTTTGAGGTGGTAACATTTCACAAACAGTCAAACTACAGAGTGGGTTTAAATGGCCAAAAGATGGTATTAGAAATCTTAACATTTGAATCCTGTCATCACTAAAAAACCTATATAATACAAATTACAAAATGTAATTCAAAATATTAGTAGGAATCTGGGCATTGGTCAACACTTCCACTATCTCTGTTAGGCTGTATAGAAAGTGTACGGATGAATATACTCTCTAAGATAAATGATATGATACCCTTTTCTTTCAGGTGGTTCTGGATTTTTCTGAAGCCATTTTGTTGCATTTGTAACTTTGTTAAGTAGTCTGGTCAAAGCAGATTCTCCACAATATGATAGCTCCCTCTTTCCCCATGCAGTTTTCAAACCATGTTGCGTTTGATGAGTTGATGGTCTGTTAGATTACGTCGGAGATTCTTTACTTGTTTACTTCATGCGCCATCTTCAGTTTTATAGAATTTTCTTTAATAGCGTCAAGTATTTGTGTCTTTTAACCTCTTTTCACTGCTGTTTTATCCCTATCGCTTCTTCCAATAGTAAATCAATCGGTCAATCTTGATTTGTATATTGCCAATTCATAACAAATGTTATCTCAAGACACTTTACAAAAAGGAGGTGAAATATCTTACTTTATAAAAATATGATATTACAAATGAGCAGGTAAAATACCTTACTTATTGTTATGTTAAAAAAAGAGTAGGTAAAAGACCATACTCATTGTAATACAGTGGCAAGAAAACACGTCCACTAAGAGGCAGAAATTTTGGGCAAAACTGAACTCATTATGAACAGCCACTGCCAAACTGTGCTGGGCTTGAAAAATGGGATAGAGGGAGTTGTTCTTGAAGGGTAATACGGCACTATTAGCCTATTAAGATAAGATGGTGCCTGGCCATTAAGAGCTTTATAAGTGAGAAGAAGGATTTTAAATGATATTTTAGATTTTATAGGTTGCCAGTGCAGAGAGGCCAATACAGGAGTAATGTGATCCCTTTTCCCAGTGCTAGTCAGTACACGAGCTGCAGCTTTTTAGTCTAGCTGAGTATTTAGAGCCTTACTTGGGCAGCCTGATAAAAGAGAATGACAATAATCCAACCTTGATAAAAAAAAAAATGCATGAACTATTTTTTCTGCATTGTTTTGCGACAGGATATGCCTGATTTTAGATATATTACGAAGGTGAAAATAGGCTGTCTTTGAAACATGTTTTATGTTAGAGTTGAAGGACATATCTTGATCAAATAGAACTCCTAGATTCCTAACAGAGGTCCTAGATGCCAGGTTGATGCCATTGAGGACAGTTATATCATTAAAAAAAAAGTCTCTGTGAGGTTTGAGGGCCAAGCACAATAACTTCTTGTCTGAGTTAAGCAGCAAAAACATTCTGGGCATCCAGGTAGGATAGGATAGAATAGGATAATACTTTATTGATCCCCAGAGGGGAAATTCGGGCATTACAGCAGCACAGACAAGAAAGCTCAAAAATACACATTAAACAGAATAGACAAGATAAATAAAAATAAAAACATGGGGTATGTACAGTACAAAATGAATGATGAAGTTAACTGGGGGAAATTGAGAATTGAGACAGTATTTGCAGAGAATGACAAAATAAAGTGACAAGTGATGATTAAAGTGACTTGGTATGATAAATAGCAGCAAGTAATGTAAACAGCAGAGAAGAGAGGCAGTGTTGTACCACAGTAATACAGAGTGCAGTTATATAATATAATGTAGTATAATATAATATAATATAGTGCAATATGAACAATATGGTGAAATATAATGAAATGTTATATAATATAGACTAGTATAATAAAAATATATAGAATGTACAGTATTTATGTATATTGATGCTAAATAATAAAAAATAATAAAATAATACAATGATAATAATGAAGCAGGCCATGTGGGTAGTGTTTTATGGGGGTGAAGTTTAGTGTCAAGGATGCACTGTTATTGTTGTCATAGGCTGCTGTTGTACAGTCTTATGGGAGTGGGCACAAAGGAGCGCCTAATAAAGACAGCAAGACCTCCTCCTCTCTTCTTGCCGCTCTGTGTCCCCCTGTCCGCTTGTACCAGCGTGAAGCCGGCCAGTTCGATGTGACTGTCCGGTATATTCCCATGCAGCCATGTCTCCATGAAGCAAAGTAAACTGCACTTCCTGTAGACACTCTGGCTGTTTACTGAAGCTGTAAGTTCGTCCGCTTTGTTGGCGAGTGACCTGACGTTCCCCATGATGACCGACGGTAGAAAGGGTTTAAATTTCCTGTCTCTCTCGATCCGCTCCCTGACTTTAGTGCTGGCTTTCTTCCCCCGGCGGACACCTCTCCATAACTCCTCAGGGTTGCGTGTAGGAGGAACACCGGCTTCCATGCCTGAAGCTCAGTAGTTCCTCACGAGTGTACGTGATCATTCCAACAGTAGAAAAAAAAGTCCAGAAAGCAACATGTAATTCCACGAGTAATACCGCTACTAAAACGCTGCAGCAGTGTCCAACAATAAACACAGAAACAGTGCAAAAATACTTAATAAAAGCAAGAAAATAGATGAAATAAAGAAAAAAGAGTCGGAGCTGCTGCAACAGGCTGCCGACTATCAGCGCCCGTTGAGGTCCTAATGACCCTGAAGCATGCTGCATATCAATAAAAATTTATGGAGTGTTTCCTCATAATATTACCCAGATGAAGCTATACAAGGTGAAGAGAATCAATCGAGGCACTGAACCTTGTCGAACTCCCCTAACTTTAGTGTGCATAGAGGACTTATCATTAACATGTACAAACTGAGATCCATCTGATAAATAGTATTTAAACCATCTTAAAGCAGTCCCTATAATTCCAAGTAATTGTTCTAGTCTTTGTAATGTTAGGGTCAATTGTGTCAAATGCAGCACTAAGACTGCATGGAGAGTAGTCCACTGTCAGAGGCTAGAAGTAGATCATTTGTAACTTTACCTAGATCAGTCCCAGTGCTATAGTGGACTCTAAATCCTGACTGAAAATCCTCAAATAACTGTTGTCATGGAGAAAGTCACATTACTGATTAGCCATCACTTTCTCCAGGATCTTTGAGATAAAAGGAAGGTTAGATATAGAAAGGTATCTGAATCAAGAGTAGGCTTTTTAAGAAGAGGTTATATTATATTATTAAAAATAAAGGCTAATTTCCTTTTTTTTTTCTGTTTCAGGTGAAAAACCTTACATTTTACGCTTATTTTACATAGACTATAACCATTTGATCAGAGGAAAAGTTAAAAGCTCCTACTGTTTTGCATTCCATGACACTGCTTTTAGAACTTTCATGTATAACCCAGCTGCTTAACAGTAGGTAATTAACATGAGAGATGAGATGAGATGAGATTCAACTTTATTGTCATTACACATATACAAGTATAGAGTAACAAAATGAGGTTTGGCATCTCACCAGAAGTGCAAATAAGCAGAAAGTGCAAGAGTCTGTGCTATGTACAGTAATTACAAAATTTACAGATGTAGACTAAAAAAAGTGAATTATTAGGTATATATGGATGGCTGGATTAATGGGATGCTGTAAATATAAATAAATGCTATAAATATAAGTGTATTCTTAGGATTATAATATACAGATTAAGGTGCAGTGAGCATCCTATACTAGTTTACAGATAATATAAAGAATATGGACATAATATGAACATACTACATTACAATAATAACATGACATTTTGTAAGTAGTAAAAGGGAAAAAAAAGCTTAGCCACAAAGAAATAATAATTTAGTTGTGAAGGTTCTAAACATTTATCAACCACAGTTTTGATGTACTTGTACTCCTTTTAAATTTTTTTGTTGTTGATGTAGCTAGGTGAACAGCTGCTCCAGCAAGTTCCCATCAGTGGTGTAGATGTCGTGGAGCTTGGAGACGAGGGTACATATGTGAGCTTCAGTCCCCTCCAGACTGCTGCAGGTAAGATAAACTAAAGTTCAGGTGAGAGACAGACACGCGCAGTCGAGTTCGCATCTGCACATCAGAAAAAAACAGAGCATGACAGCTACTTTTCTGACTTTACGGCTTATTTTAAGCCATTTCAATCAGACACAGCAATAAATAAATAAAATATTGCACAACACAGAGAACATGAGAGCTACTTTGTGGCTTATATTGTGTCATGTTAATCAGATACAGACATGAAACTCTGGATTTCTCTATAATGAAGGCTGTCAACGTTGTGTACCCGCATGCTTGTGCTCGTGCATGAAGTGTACCGTGCCGAAGCACACCTCTCCGAAGTGTGCCAAAGCCAAGGAAGTGTACCGTGCCTGAGCACGATACGGAGCAGTCACACTGGTCAAATGAACTGGACTTTAGGGTTGAAGCGTGCTTGGGCACGGTACGGATGGCCAGTGTGACCGTGCCCTTAGGGAAGACTTACTTTCCTTCATGAACATATACGCTCAAAATTAGGATGAGCCTGTATACTGTTGTGTGTATGTTGCTTGCCTGTATTTAATTTTAAAAAAGAAGGAAATAAAACAACATTTTATGACTTTCTCCCTCAACTGAAGTCCTGGGGACTCAGCAGGAGGACATTGAGTGCCTGGTGGGGAAGCTGTCAGAACTGGTGCCATTGGTGAGCTCCACAATATCCCTCAGACTGAACTTCAGAGAGGAAACCCAACGACACTCACCCATGCTCATGTACATAGAGGAGCTCAGTTGGCCTGGCCTGGGTGCTGTCAGGTAAGAATAAGTTGACTTGGAAGGACTACTTAATTATAGACTGAATGGACACTGACCTTGGTCTGCATTTTTACCTTGTATTTGGCTATTGTATATTATCGATAAAGCAGCTACTAAATAGTATGATGGCTGCGTAACAGATCCTGCTCGCACCATCATGTTAACAGTCTGCAAATTGGCTGCGTGACTCATATCAGTCCTGATTCTCTAAAAATTTGACTCAAATTAGGGCCATAAACTATCTATAATTACAAATGATTGGATTCATAAATGTAATATGGCTTGTTTCCATACATACTGTAAGGCAAAAAGGCTAAATTTATACTTAAATGAAATATACATATTTATCGCTCTTTGCTTAACAGGCTGTTTTCAATATTATACAGGGGTGATTTAAGTTTAAAATGGTTCCTACATTTATATTCAACAGCCAAAATTAATGTGAAGAGAGAGAAGAGGATAAAAAGAGGGAAACATAGAGGGAGATATTGCACTGGAAGAAATATCTCCCATAACATGATGCTATTGATTATTAAAACGGTGTGTTCTTAATCTGTGTCCTCTTGGACAAGTCTTCATGATTGATGACTTTGTTTTCTTTAATTCTTCTGAATATTTGAGGATGCTTATGTGTGTCTGGGATTAGGCTTATTGGAAATCAATTCAATTTTTTTTAAATTTACTAACAGATGTCAAAACAACTGAATGCAGATAGTGTGGTACAGTAGAGAGAGACACACATAATGAGAGAGAGATTGCACAGGGAGAAAAATAACCAGCAACCTGATACTATTTAATTATACAATATAATACACTTTATTGTCCCCTTGGGGAATTAAGTCTTGAACTCCAAGTGCTGCATATGGTATCTGGTAGCTGGAGCGGTGCCAGATCGCTTCCTGAGCACTGCAGAGGTGCCCTTGAGCAAGGCACCAAATCCCCTACCCACCACCAGATCAGGAGCGCCTGCCGGGAGCGGCTCCGTCACTCTGACATCTCTCCGTTAGTTCATGTCCATAGGATCTTGTTTGTGCATGTGTGTATAATTCAGCCTATGTGTGTGTTGCATGACTTATAGAGTGTAAAAACAGAATTTCCCTTTGTGGGATCAATAAAGTAAATTTTAATCTTAATCTTAAGTATTCATTAAAAAAAGAGGCATACCTTTGTTGTTTTAGAAAGCATACTGGATCAGATCTGTTTTTATGCAAAGCTTTGTTTCCCCCATGAGACTTTGGTAGAGCGTAAGTTTTATATTCAGTTGTTTATTTGTAAACCATGAGGTCCTAGAACACAGGGACTGTTCTGTTTCAGCTGGTCAGGGGGGAAAAAAGGGAAGGAATGCATTAAAAATTCTTAGTCCTTGGAGCACATTGAATAACTCAAGATATGCAGGCTGTTAAAACTCACAAAATGTAACATGTATGTGTAAACCATTAAACAGTTTGCTAGAGGGGGGGTAAAAGTTAAGCTCGATAAGCCCTGTCTGCACAACAACTTCAAGGTGGGACTGTTATGTCCCTGTTGCATTTGGATGACTGTGGGAATTGGAATGAAGGGATGTTCCGCCACTGAACCAGCATTGGAGGTGGCCTGTTGATGTATAGGCTCGGCAACAGCTGAAATGACACATTTAGAGAAATGTGTAGTGTATTCAGAAAAGCTGCTCTTTCAAAACCAAATACAAACATATGGGCGGCTGTGGCTCAGTTGGTAGAGTTGTCGCCTGTCAACCTGAAGGTTGAGGGTTCAATACCCAGCTCTGCAACATGTCCAATGTGTCCTTGGGCAAGACACTTAACCCTGCCTTGCTCCCACTGCTTCTGCGGCAGTGTATGGATGGGTTAGTGTTGTGCTTACTCTCTGATGTAGAAATGCTGCAAGTTCACCCTTAGAACAGAAGTATATATTCCTGTGGGACATTTTATGTACAAGAGAGAGGGAAGGAGTCCAGGCCATAGCAGGCATGGAAAGTTTTGTTTAGATGGAAAGTTTTGTTTAGGTGGAAAGTTGCATCGTCAACCAACACAGAATTACGTCAATAATACAGCAACAAGTGAATCCGGACTGCGCCCCGGGATGCCTAGAGCTAGTGTTGGCTGTGGGGCTAAAGAGCTCTAGCTCCAAAACATACCCCTGCCAGCTACTGTCAGCCTGACCAACCATGTCTTCGTCATCCCCGCTTTGATAGTCCAAATTGAACTTGCTGTTAAACTCCTGGCTGCAGATAAGCCTCCCTGTCATCACTTTCCCCACCAAGAACCGTGTGCCTGACAAGTTCCATCTCCCAGCATTCTAAAGTCCCTTGCTCACGCCAGGCAACAGTACCAGTAGCCGGTCAGCTAACTTAGCAGAGCTATCTGACAAACAGACACCAGTTCTCAAAGCTGTATGGATTTTTGTACATTATAAAGGTGTGATTTTGCAAAATAGACTGTCGGGCATATAGCCCAGGAGAAAAGTCGATCCAGTGGTATGTATCGGTATGTTGTTTGATAATGAAATTACTTCCCCATCTCCCTTTCACATCTGTCATTGTCCATCTCAACAGACCTGAAGGCTAAATATAGAGCAGCCCCGGGATGCCAGCAATGTACTTCGGTCTTCCCTAGAGTCAAACGGAAAGCTCACCTCTCAGTGTAATACGTATTACGACAATCAACAGTTTAAAAACAATTTTAAAGGCTGACCTTGTGTAGCAAAAAGATGGTTGCTTGTTGGGTATGAAGGAAGGCACTGACACAGGATCAGGATTTTACATCTAATTTGCCTGTAATGCAGCAAAAGGGCACGAAAGTCACGCACAGACACAAGCAATGGCATTTTCCCTCTCCCCTGATGCGAGTCAAACATGAAAATGAGGCACAATCTCCTCTTATCCAAGTAAAATAATTGCAAGTTACTGGCCACATAGAAGATTGGTATGGGATTAACCATTTCTTTGTGTAAATGTAAGTGGCTGAGTAAGTCTTACATTAACAAGGGATAAATTCAGTGCAAGTTAAGATTGGTAGCATGGACACAATTGATAATTGACAAATAGTATGCAGATTTCAAACATATGATGTGACAAATGTGTTAACATTCAGGTATGAGCCCCAGGCTGAAGGAATGGATGAAAGCAAGAAAATGCAGGAACTGGAGAAAATTAACACTGAGCTGCTGAAAAAACTTCAAGACCTTGACACTGACATCGTCTTCTCCAATGGTTTGTGTAAGAGCTGTCCACATCAGAGAAGCCTTTGAAAAAGTACTTCACAGTATTTGTTCCCTAACTATTGTTTTGTAATCTATCTCACTAGGGCCAGAGTTTGGAAAAGAGAAGGACTGTATCTTTGTTGGCATGGTCGGTGAGGACATTAATGTTGAAGAGTTGGTGGATATAATTGCAGCCCTGGGGAGGGACATTGAAGACAGCGAAAAGGTAAATGCTATTTTAACTTAAGAGGATACATAAATTTAGTGACTCCTCCCCTACTTCTGATGAGTGTTCACTGTATCTTTATCAGCTATGATTGGAACAATTACACTGGGGAAGGTGCCTTAAGTGCGCAGCTTGAAGCACACTTTTTAAGCTGTAGTTCTCCTTCTGTATGTTTTTCACAATGCTTCTTCTTCCGCACCATTTGCAACACATGTACAGTATAATACATCAATTCATCTGCAGAATCAGGAGTAGCTGGCTCGCATTAGAGATCCGCCGATTAAAATGTGTGCATATCAGAAAGAATGTGCAACATTTCTGAAAGTTATGAAAGAAAAGCAGCTGTAAAGAGTTCTCACAACAGGACTTGCAAAGTTTGTTGCTGCAATGGTGACTTTATGAGACAAAAACTTTCTAATTGCGGTGTTGCTGTGAACTGTCACTGCCAATTTCCATATAGTCCATAGAGCACCTTTTGCTGCCACTCCAGTCGAAGACTCTATTCTCCGGTCCGTCTCCGGAGCATTTTTCTCTTTATTCCTGTGTGCTCTTGTAGTTCTATGATGTGTGTACAGCTGCTATTGGCTGCTCTCCGCTGCGCTCACGCTCCAGAAACGGACACAGTGGGGTAGACCATCCCGTCCGACTGAGCAAAACCATGGCACTGATGGAAAGCAGAGCGCACTGACTATGTGGAAATTGGCAGACATGTCTTTAAGACAGAACATGCAGTTCAAGCACATTGGTAAATATGAAAAAATATTTAATGTTAGTTTGAAAAAAAAACATCTGACCTTCAACATTTAAAATATTCAGCCCCTGCAGCACATTGAATCTAGGAATTTGGAAGGCATATCAAACATGCAAATAAACACCTACAAAGAGCCTCTTGGACCCCTCTTGGACACCCTCTTGGGGCGGCTGTGGCTCAGTGATAGTCAGTTGTTTCTCCACCCGAAGGTTAGGGGATGAATGCTATTCACACCTAAGTTGGTGTAGAGCTTGAAGTCACTTGAAGAAAAAAGTTATTCGGCTCGTGAAAAACACTCAACGGGTGTGTGCAATGGCTAATTGTCAAAGTTTGATGCCTCGCCATAATACAGGAAGTTACAGCTTCTCAAATGTACACGGTCCAAACTACCTAAATCTGAAATTGTTTGATTGGAGACCACTTCTGAACATATCTGAATACAAACACTACATGTTTATAGTGTCTCCTATTGGTAAGACCTAGTATTACCTGTATTTGTGTCCAGCCTAGGCCTTCATAAAAGCCTCTGATTATCATGTTGAAAACCCAACAGGAAGTCTGCCATATTGATGAGAATTTAAATTAGGGCAATTTACAGATCACAGTTAATTTTTTATTTTTTTGTTTCACTCATCCTCCAGGTTTCATCTGATTATTGCCAACTTTGGTCAGAGTGGTGTAGGGACATTGGGCCTTATCCACCAATATCTTCTTGTGAATTTTTGTTCGATATTTCTTAAGTTTTTCTTAAGAAGATTTCTAAGAAGACGTGATGTCAGATTCACTTACCTGTTCTTAAATGGCTAAATTGTTTGCAGCTGTGTTCTTACTACATTGAGTTGAAAACGCTGGCTTGTTGTTCCCAATTAGCATAGGTAACTGCCCACTAATGGCCATGAAAGGGCATGAGTGCAGGTCCCTGCACACACAGAAACACATGATAGTAGGAAACAATAAGGTTGTGGAGATGCCTTGCGGGGGGCTGAAGATAGCGCCGTCTGATCACTGGCCATGCCCCCTTTTACATGTATATTTAAAAGTCGCTTTATATGTTGATTTCAGTATACTAGTTAATAAAAAATACTGCACCACATTGTCAAATCTCTCAGGGGTCCAGGTTTGAGTCTCCTCCAGACTCTACTGTACCTAAAGTGGGGATTGGGATCCCCTGGGGCTTGTGAAAAACTGAGAGAAGGTCACGAGATGCCTAACATAAAAAAAATTTAAAAAAAAAAAATATATATATATATATATATATATATATATATATATATATAAAGGGACCTGTTCATAAAGGGACCCGATGGCTCATCGGGGGCCCTAACAGCCCCGGGACCCCATATTCCCGCAGTACCCCCCACATGATCCCAGCAACCTGAAGTTGAAGAGAGGTGACCCTCTGGTATTGGTGGGCGATATAACGATATTAGATCGTGAAGGATTTTAACGTGCTGACGATCTGCCAAAGCAGGGAGATCGTAGAACCGGGCTTATGTGTTTATTTTATCTTGCTGCAGTTTATACTCCGACACAGACGCGTCTCCCTCCCTCCTTTTTTTGCTCCGCAAAAACAACTCCATCCCGGTTATATGCAATTGTTCTGATATATTTCCAAACCGACACGCCGTGATCAACAGTTAACTTATCTGCATAGTTTGCACAGTTAAGTTTACATCTCGGATAGCGACACAAGAAACCGTTTAACGAGCCGGAGAGACCTTAACAGTCTGCAGAGAGTCAGACAGAGCGGAGCTCTCAGACAGACAGACAGTTAGGGGAGATATAACCCCCGTGTTTAAAATGTTGCTGTCGCTGTTTTCTGCTCTCTCTCGGTTTTTAAAAGTTACTATCCAGCTTCTCCACCCGAAGCTCACCTGTTGTGATTACCGAATTTATAGGGATTACGCTAAACGACGTTACACGTTGTGTGCAGTAGGCAGGTGAGTAACCATGGTGACTGTCTGTCTGTCAATCAACAATGTCCCGCCCCCTCTATGAATTAAACTCTTCTGTCAATAAAACTTACTTTGATTATGTGTCACAGAATGAACACATTCTGTATTATGTTTGGTTATAAACCAAACTAAAGTTAATCCAATGATGTCATAAAAAACAACAAAGGCTGCAGAGCCTGTATGAAGCTCCAGCCGTAGGAACTCTGCAGGGCTAAATAGAACAGAAACACTTGAAGTCTACATGTTTTTAAATGAATGCATCACTGCGTGAAAATGTTCCTGATGAACATAAAAAGAGGACACATAACTAAATCATAATTTCAAAGTGGTGAGGAAAACCTTCAAATTGTGCATAAATATTGATCAATTCGAGGGAAAGACGTTTCTGTTGCTAAAGATGTTCTGGGTGAGAGACCTCCAGACCTCCTACAAAGATGTTTTTTTAAATAGATTAAACTTGTCTGCACAGTTTTTGTGCATTTAAAAACATTATACAGGGAAATAAGTTTGGTTGAACTGGTCAGTAACATACAAATTTGTCTAAAGAGCAGTATGAAAGAAATCGTGATAAAATCGTGATCGGGATTTTGACAAAAAAATCGTATTTTTTTTAATGATATTTTTCCCCATATCGCCCACCTCTACCCTCTGGTTCACCGGGCAAAACTCCCGACACAGTGGCACTCAGCCGGGGGCTTTTGAGTATCCCCACACCCGCCTGTCGCCTCTCACCCTGGGCCACTCCGGGAAAAGATAGCATCCAGCCCCTCTCCTGGAGTTTGGTTCCAGAACCAACGCTGTGTGTTCAGGTGAGCCCACGCGCTCCACCTCCCGCACCAGCTCCGGCTTCTTCCTCGCCAGAGAGGTCACGTTCCACATCTACAGCACAGACTAGAGCTAGTCTCACAGACTAGAGCTAGTCTGTGCTGCCGGGAATTAGCATGCCTAGGCATCCGCCTACGCCTGCCACCCGTCTGTGCATACTCCTGTCCCCCATGCTTCTCGCTGCAGGTGGTGGGCCTACAGGGCAACGGCTCGGGCGATGTCGTTGTTTCAGGCTATCAGACCTATTTTGATGTTTGAATCAGGCTGTCAGCATGTTTAAAAAACAGGCTTTTTGAATGGGTGTGTATGTGACTTCCTGTGCTTCTGCAGCCAGCCTCAAGCGGACACTAGACAAACTGCAAGATTTCACACTTCCGCATCAGCTTCATTTTTCAACACCAGAGACTGCCTCTTAATTGTACCAGGTACTTTGCCCTTGGTGCCAAATGTACTTTATCTGGTCAAATCTGTAGATCAAAGCAGGAGTTCTTGGTATCCCGCTTATGACAGTGATCTTTTTGTGAGATGCTATAGCCATCAAAGACCCTAAGTACCTAGCTAGACTCTTCTTCTCTGTAGTCCCTCTGTTGTGGAATGAATTAGAAACCTCCATTTGCTCTACACAGTCCTTTTCCACTTACAAGAAAAGGCTAAAGACAGTTTTTTCCACAAACACCTACGTAACTAATGAAAGTGATGATACTGATAATGATGATGACATTCAATTTCAATCAATCACTCAATTTTTATTTGTATAGCGTCAACTCATAACAAGTGTTATCTCGAGACACAAAAAGCAGGGGGGGTGTTGTTCTGGCAGGCTGTCAACCAACGATCTCGAGGAGCCTAAGAGAGCTCAAGAGCTCCCAGGAAAGTAGGTGGTTAGTGACTGAGATTTACAGAGAGAGAGAGGAGCTCAAGATGCCAGTTCCCCCAGTAGTCTAAGCCTATAGCAGCATAACTAGGAGCTGGCATTTTGGGACCGTAATGTTCTCGAAGGGTAGTACGGCACTAGTAGCTCCTTAAGATAAGATGGTGCCTGACCATTTAGAGCTTTGTAAGTGAGAAGAAGGATCTTCAATTCTATTCTAGATTGTATAGGAAGCCAGTGCAGAGAAGCCAACACAGGAGTAATGTGGTCCCTTGTCAGTACACGAGCTGCATAGTTCTGGACTAGTTGAAGAGTGTTTAGAGACTTACCAGAGCACCCTGACAAAAGAGAATTAGAATAATCCAACCTGGAGGTAACAAATGCATGAACTAGTTTTTCTGCATCATTTTGCGACAGGACATTCCTGATCTTAAATATATTACGAAGGTGAAAATAGGCTGTTCTTGAAATTTGCCTGATGTGAGCCACTCCATGGCTAACTTTGGTGTGCATAGAGGACTTATCATTAACATATACAAACTGAGATCAGTCTGATAAGTAGGATTCAAACCAACTTAAAGCAGTCCCGGTAATTCCA